CAGGGGCCATATAGTGGGGTAAAGATTTGGGTCCCTGGCTTTGATCCTTCTCTCCTTCTCTTTGATCCTTCTCTCCTTCTCTTCTCGTCAGAATTTTGTTCTTCTTGTAAACCGTCATAGAAGTCGTCCTCTCCTTCAACTCTGGCCAGTGCAAAGTTACTGAACTTCAAGACACCTGCTCCATCAAGCATTATCCTTGATGGTTTCAAATCGCAATAAAGAATTCCAAGGGAGTGTATGTAGTACAATGCTTTTGCAATTTCAATTCCAAATTGTCTGACAGTTTCCACTGGTAGACATTTATCTTGAGACAGGACGGCGTCCAAACTGTCTCCTGTACATAACTCCACCACCATCCAGATGTGATTTGTTGTCTCTTACCATTCACGAAATTTGACAACATTTAGATGATCCATCTCGTGGGTTAGTCTGACAATGTTTCGAAGCTCCAGTCGCTTGCATTTTTCAACACAGTGTATCGCTACAAATTCAATTGTTCCTTTCTTACGACCTTTGTAAACCACAGAGTGTTCTCCTCTACCAACTTCGTCGTACAGTATGTAATTCTCCATGTTGATAAAGGTAGCAGATCCCGCCTTTTAATATATTTGTCTCCTATAAATATTTAAAATTTGTAAACAACCGTTCCCCGAATGCAGAAATTTTTTTTGGGATCACTTTCTGAAGGAGCTTAGACAGCAGGCTCAATTAGGCAATAAAGCCTTCTGATGATTTGTTAACAATTCTACCCTCACATCCCCCGACTGGTTGAAGTGCGATTGTAGGGGGATAGGGAAGAAAACATTTTTGTTACTAGCGCGAGAAAAAACAAATGGGAAGTTATTTATTAACCCTATGTTTTTGTAATTTTCTCGGGAAAGAATATTACCTTATTTCGCTACGCTCCGTTCAAATATGAATCTTCTGCCTTTGGCTAAAATACCCTTTCTTCGTGAATTCTAAACACTACTCACGATCAAATGGAACCAAAGGGAATTTCAAACCAAGGAAATACTTGCCTCTGAATAGTGTCTTACAAGCTCTGCTCTCGGTGACATGTTTTTCCGAAGGACTCGCTGGATTGCAGCACAATCGCAAGAAGTGCACCTTATCGAGTACAGGTCTTGAAAATGTATTCAATTTCAAAAAAATCCCAGCAGGCAAACAACATTAACCTTTCGGTGAACTGCGTAATTGAACCAAGTACTTTTTTAAATGGACTACAAAATTTGCCGCAAGTGCAGTAATCCGCTTATTTATTCCTGAAATTAAGCTTATTTCGACTTAATAGAGCAATTCGTATCAATCATATTAAAATACGTATTTGACAACTTGATAATCTTGTTAGAACGTCATAGGAAGTTGTACCTTTAAAGAAGCTACGAGTAAAATCTGGTAAGGCCTTTTCACTGTTTATAGCGGTAAATTTATATTAACCCTGGAAGCTTTGCACGTCTTAGTTATTTGCTTGATTAGTTTTTGACGCTGTTGTGTTGAGCATCCATCTGAAGCGTGCGTGTATGAGTGCTCAGGGTGCATAGAGTGAAAACGGTGCGCAAACCTAATAATTTCGACCCCTCTACAAAAATGAGTAGTTTCTGGACCATATTGACTTGATATTTTACACTTGGTAATTCCTAAATTGACTGATGCCTCACACGAGAGAAAATAATTTTCATGTCATAACTGTGCACCACTGAGGCCTTGCATAAATAAAAAGGTTATTCTGGTATGTTCCACTAATTACTCTTGGTCAGATGCGTTTTCTACAAATGATGGAAAAAATGAGTTATTATTATTATTAACATTATTATTATTATTAATATTATTGTCATTATTATTATTGTGTTACATACTCTTAACCAAATTTGAAACTTTACCACTCCCCTCCCCCAAAGCAGCTACATGTATACAATATAGGGCCTTTTTAAAAGTCCTCACTGTTTAATGCCTCAAGGCTTACTGGTTTGGCAGTCAGTGGAAAAGTAATAAAAGAAATACATTCAGTTGGATTTAAATGATTATAATTAAGATTTAAGTATCAATTCTAACTGAGCAATGACTTAGGATACAGAAAACAAGACATTGATTGAATTATATCAGGTGGCTTGATGGAAATAAGCCAAGAAAGTATTTTTTTTTGTTTGGTACATAGTCATAAAAAAGCTCCATATTCTGTAGTTGTAAGTCATGGAGTAAAATTCAGTACTTTAACTATATTCAATAGACCTT